TAGCTTCTGCCTTTTAGGATCAACCATCAATAGTAAAGGAACAAGCAGTCAAGAAATATGCTGTAGACTAGGACTTGGTAGAGCAGTCATGGCGGCCTTGGAAAAGATATTCAAATGCCATGATGTGTCTTTACCTACAAAAATCAGAATTGTGCAAGCCATGGCATTCCCTGTGACACTCTGTGGAAGCGAAAGTTGGACTTTGAAGAAGCAGGAAGAGTATTAACACTTTTGAACTTTGGTATTAAAGAAAACTCCTGAAAATACCATGGACAGCCAAGACAACATACAAATGGATCATCAAACAAATCAACCCAGAGTTCTCACTTGAGGCACAAATGACCAGTCTCAAATTATCTTACTTCAGACACATGCAAAGACCTAGCTCTCTGGAAGAGGCTCTAATTCTGGGAAAAGTGAAAGGAAAGAGAAGAAGAAGACGACCAACAGCAAGGTGGATGGACTCAGTTACAGTGGTGATGGGTGCACCATTGGAAGACCTGAAAGACCAGGTTAGAGACAGATTGTACTGGAGAAAATCTATCTATGTGATTGCTAGGAATCGAAAATGACTTGATGGCATATAATCAATCATCCATATGAATCCCACAGTAGTATGCAGTATGATTAAAATTATACACAGTTCAATAAAAATGCTAAATACATGCTCGTGATGAAAACAGAGGGCAGCACATACAGAATACCAGAAAAAAAAAATCAGTCAATTAAAATACCCAGTAAAGCTGGGGGGAGGGGAGCAGGGAGGGATTTTTTTTAAAATTGGTAATTATTTTATTTAACCAAACAGTGATCAAGAAAATATAAGATTATTGAACGCATGGATACATTGGCACCCTCTGAAGTTGGGAATAAATATAGCCAACAGTTCCTTTTCCTAAAAACGTTAACTGTTCTTCAAGTCCTAACAATGAATATCATGATATATAAAGATTTAGCCCAGGTGTGTTTTTGGAAAACACCTGCTGCTTTTGCTTTTAAACAAAAATTGATTTTGTAAAAGCAACGACAAGTAGGACTAAAATATAGGAATGAAGTTTTTAGGAAAAGGAACTGTATAATAGTTGGATTGGGAATTGCAAAAGCTTCTGCACATTCTCAGGGGATAGCTGTAAAATCTTTCACTGATCTGGTCAAATTGTACTGGTTGGAGTTCCAATGAAAAAACAAGTCTCTTATATTCCATAATAAAATTATGGTTAGGACAAGCCTCTTAGATTCCATAATAAAATTACCACTTGATAACAGCTTTTAAATTTTCTTTGGGAGCTGCATGTACTGAGTATGAGATTACTGAGTATGAAATTCGCCTGAATGGCCTCTTCCAGCCTTGTGATTCTATGATTCCTAAGTGACAAGTTGCCCACTTTTGATTTGAGATATTAAGACTCTGCTTAACTTTTTGTTTAACCTAAGGAACAATATGTTATATATAAATTGACACTGGTTCCTCCCTCTCTGTTTGGTAAATGGAAAAAGGATGTTAACAGCAATTTTCTGTCATCGGGTGTTATGGGAATGAGTGTAAGGTTGTTTTAATTGTGACTTGAACAGCCTGATGTCTTCTGTTGTTTAGGTGATGCTGGCTGCTTCTTACTGGTCCCTTCTTGCACCTGCTATTGAGCTAGCTGAGGACTCTGGGAAGTTTGGAGCCTTGGCCTTCCTCCCTGTAGCAGTTGGCTTCACTCTGGGAGCAGCATTTGTATTCTTCGCTGACCTCATTCTCCCATGGCTGGTGAGTAGCTCTCAAAATCTGGTCACCAGGAAAGGCCAATTTGTATTCATTTTTGGTGTGCTGGGAATTACTCTTGACCTGCCCTGAATGAAGCAGCTGGTACCAAGGTGACATGTACCATTTTCGATCCTCCCTTCTTCTCAAAGCCTGCTGGTGAGTTTTGGGATGATGGGAGTAGGGGCAATGATTCTTTGGTGTTTTGTTCCTTTGATACCTCACTGTATATTCCAAATCTAGAAGTTGTATCATGAATCTTTATCCCACAGTTATTATAGGATGGGTCCAGCACTTGAATTGTACCATAATGGCTAAGAGACTGACCATGTTTCCCTTTCTTCTCCTGCTGCCTATTGTGAAAACATCTCCTTGTCATTCCCGATAACACCACCCAGTGATTCTCGCCGTGTTACCTTCTCCAACTTGAACAGGGCTGAGATGCTACTGGCTTTTATAACCCCAACACTTTAATTTTCTCCTAATTTTGTTTGCTAAGGCTTCCTTGCATTTGAAGCTTCCATTTTCTGTTCCAGGCTGGGTTTGGGGAAAAAAACTTTCAGAGAGGGTTGAAAGAAGACCAAATAAAAAATGAAAAGCAAAACAGAAGGAAGGAAGATCAGGTGTGAGGGACCAGAAGTGGTGTGGTCGTTTTTCTATTTCCTCCTCCCTGTTTTCTGGCCTCCCTGTTGTATAGTCTTCCCTTTGGCCATGCTTGTCAGCCTACCTTTGGACCTTGCCACCTTATGGCCCTGTAAGGGGGCACTGGTATTAGCAGCAGCAGCATGGAATTTTTCATGGGTCTTGCCAAGACATGCCAAAAATTTAAAATTTCAAGAAACTTATTTCAATACTGAAACATGTTCTGATCTTACCTACAGTGTTCCAATCTTTTGAGTGTATTGGAAGCATTTTGAGCTTGAAACATTTTGAATTCAAAACATCAGGATATCATTATTCACCTTCACCATATCAATCAGCTTCTCTGTCTTTTTGTCTCTGTATCCTTGCTAGGTATCAGGAAGCCAAAACCATTCGGTTTTCTCACCTGCCATGTACTTTGTCTCACAGTGGGAGGGACAGTAAGCAGAGAAATCTAGAATGTGCACTGATGGCCATCTTGACAAATGATATTTTATCTGTAGGTGCCTTTTTGGCCGTGCAAATCTTAGGCAGTTGAGCAATGTGTATGCTTATATTTCCATATTTCCATATTTTTTATTGATCATTTTATTTATTTATTGATCAGATTTTGAATTAGCTTTTTGAGCAGTACTCTTATTCCTTTCAACTTTTAACAAAGAGCTAGGACATAAATGTAACCTCAAGCACTGTCTTTATGTTAGAAAAGTTTCCTCAGTTCTTGGCTGGAGGGATGGACCTTTGATTAGGCAGAGTGAGGCAATTACTTTCATGAATATCTTTTATAGAGCTACAGGTTAACAATTATAGGTAGTCCTTGATTTATGTCCCCTCGTTCAGTGATCATTCAAAGTTACGGTGGCACTGAAAAAAATGGTCATATGACTGGTCCTCGAAGTTCTGGTCATCGCAGCATCCCTGCAGTCACATGATCTTGATCTAGGAGCTTGGGTACCCAGCACGTGATTACGATGTTGCACGGAGCAATGGTGACATGATTGCCATTTGCAGCCTTCCCTGCTGGGTTCCCACAAGCAAACTCAATGGGGAAGCCAGCAGGGAAGGTTGCAAGTCATTTTGGTAAGTTGCTCTGCTTTTTCTCCCACCTGCAGCAACCTCCCACACCCACATGCAGCCTCTGCTGGCCCTCCCAGGCCCTGACTCACATGAAGCCTGCACTGGCCCTCCCAGGTCTTCTCTCAGCCTCCCTCACACCCCCATGGCACTCCCATGGCACCCCCGCATCACCCCCATGCTCCTTACCTGGGACTCCTGCCTCTTCTCACTTAACGACCCACGCATCTTGGGGTTACGACAGCAACTGGGACTGGCCGGGATTGCGGTCACTTAGTGATACAATCATGTGACATCACGTTTTATGACTGCATCACTTAAGAGGCGGCGATCCCAGTCCCAATTGCCATTATAACCCAAGGACTACCTGTATTTTGTTGGTATTGGCTATTAGTTTAGCAGATACAAGTTCATATAGAGCAAACACATTCAGCAGTTTAAAACTGTATACATTTTTTTCAGCAAAAAATGATAATGTTTCAGGAAATGTGTCTAGATTTCTAGGCAGATGTGCAAAAAAGGATAATACTGTAGGTAATGCCACACATCTTGCTACAAGCAAACAAATTTTCTTGTATTTATGAACCAAATCTGACATTTCCTGCTAATAATGAGAAAGCTTTTATCTAAATTTACCATAGAGAATGTAGTTAAGCTCCTTTTCTATCTTCTTCCCTCCCTCCTTCCTTCTTCAATCTCTCTCCTGATAAAGATCTAGTTATAGTAGCTTGTTAATACTGCTTTTTCCATTAACTAAAGCTGAAGTGAGGAAGAAATGCTTTTTTAGATTTCTACAACGTGATTGAACTGCTAATGTCTTCTAAATTGCCTAAGTCTACAGTATTGAAGTCAAGAAGTAGCTTCAAAATGCTGAACTTCTGAGATATCTTTCCATCCTAATATTTAATGTGATACTTTGTTTGTGTATTTTATTTCACTGTGTCCCAAACATCCTAGTAAATGTTTGGAAGATTGTGTTGGTTTACAATCACTTAAGTTAGAATTTCTGAAGTAATTCATTCCAACAAACATAGTTTTAGACACTTAACTTAGATCTAAAGATGCCCCTTCTGTCTCTTCTCTGAACATGCAGAAAATACCCTTTAGGAGTAAAATTACCTTTTTGTTGGTAATTGGTCCCTTTTATTCAGGTTAACTACTAGATAAGCAAGTTGCTGATAACAAAGGAAACATCTTGGCCTTGGTGGACTAAATAAAAAGCCACAGAATTGGACATCTTGATATATTGCAGTCTGGCAATTTCACAATTCAGTTTTAGTTCTGAAGTTCTATTTCCCCCTTTAGGACGGCTGTGTTATGGTCAGTTATGGGATGTTCTGTCAGACTGGAATATTTCCTCCCTCTGGTTGTTCAGTGCTGTCAGTCTTGATGTCAGAAATGCATCCCTTGATTACTTTGCACAGAGACTGCCCAGTTTGTTTTGTGTAAAGTGTAGAAGAGCATTTCTGATGGGCATTGGAAAATAAGTAAGTGAATAAACTGATGATGTTGTCAAAGTCTGTTTAATTATTTCCATAAGTGTACCATACCTAAACATTTCCAGTGTTCCATACATTCCTAGAACCAAAATCATCACCAGAATACATCTTACCTCAGTGAGAGGAAGCTGAAAAAAATACCATCACTTGGCCCAGGAAGATAGTGAGAGGTAAAGTGCACTTTTCCATCTGGCTTCCTGCCCATTAGCCTATTTGTTATTTGGTGAGTAGGTTCTAGTAACTGAGACAGAAGAAAAGGGATAGGATTTTAGTAACTCTAGTAACTGAGGCAGAAAAATAGGATTTTCCCAAATGTACTCCAAGCACAGTCACTTGGTGAAGAAGAAGAACAGAATGCTGGGTTTGATAAATATTCTACCAAGGAGAGAAGAAAGAAACATCACATTTCTTGACCTTCAATATTCTGTTTAGCTAGCAGACATCTTAGCAGCTTTCTGGTGTGAAACAGAATATGTATCTCAGTTGGCACCTTCCTCCTTTTGCTACATATTTCCAGTAAGAGCATTTTCAGATGGATGGCTATAATTCTGTCAGTCAAAATGCATTTACGTATCTGTTCTGCCTTTCATTCTTAACTGGCCTTGTGTGGTAAGGGGAAACATAAGTAAACAGTGGGAAACAAGATAAGACATAATTTTCTAGGCAGCCTGTAAAATTCTGTAAGGCATTACAGTTAAAATCATTAACTCTAAAAGCCTGTTTCATTAATTAAACAATGTCATCTGTTTATTTAATTTGCTAGTCTTATATGAAAGGATCAAAGTATTTTGCTTTTCTTTTTATATGTAGTATTTTATTAAATAGCATGTGGCTTCATCATCAGATGATTGGTCTACCCCCAAACCCATAGAAATTATGTCTAGCCTTTATTGCTGATTGTATTTTCATAAGGAAGTCATGATAGGCTGAAATGCCAGGCACCTGAATCATGATCACGTGACTGTGGGGACGCTGTGGCGGCCACAACCTCAAGGACGGTTATAAGTCTAATTTTTCAGCGCTATCATAAGTTCGAACGGTAACTGAACGAGAGGTCAGTGAGTGAGGACTACTTGTATGCATATTGCTACTCCAAGTGTCTCTTTGTTGTCTCCTAATTCTTTTTCCTTCTACTGATCTTTCTAGAAGGGTCCTTTGCATAGAGTTGTGTCTCAATATATGACCCAAATATCTCAGGGTTGGTTGGTTGGTTGGTTGGTTGGTAGGTTTGATGTTCTTTATGAGCTGTCTTTCCTTTGTGCCATCTCTAGGACTTCAGGATTTGATCTTTTGTGACTTTCAAGGGATTTTCAAGATTCTCCTCAAAAGCTGTATTTCAAAGGCTCTCAGCCTGTTCTCAGCCTCCTTGGATACTGTCTGTGTTTTGCAGTTGTAAAGGAGAGATGACCAAATATGGTATTTGGTCACTTTTAAATTTTAAATCCATTTCCCTTGAGGTCAGAATATTCTTCATGTCTAAAAAGTATTTCCTTGTAATTTCTATTTTCCTCTTTATTTTCCCATCTTCCACAATAAACAAAATAGACAGACAAAATTCCTGTCTTGTGCAGAGGGGCATTATTGATCATTTTATATTTTTTGAGGGTCTTTTTTTTCTTGAAGCTACCGTCATCTTGGCTTCTTTTTGGTATTAAAATGTAACCTCTACTTTTCACTTGTTTTTGTTTTCTCTATTAGAAGGTCAGGTTCTGTTCTTTGTCTATCAGGAGCACAGTATCATCTGCATATCCTAAATTGTTTTCATACTACCTTTTGACAGTCCTGATGCAATGTTTAGTTCATCAAATATTTCTTCAGTACAGACACAGAAAAGGAGGGGGGAAAGGACACAATTCTAGTGCATTCCTTTTTTGGATTGAAAACTCCTTTGAAAAAGCTCCTTCATGTGTTAAAAGAAAATTGCCCCCAGTATAGATTCATTATCATTCTAATGCCTTTGCCATCCATTCCACTTCACTCCAAGGTTGTTATCAATATTTCATGCTTTATAGAATCAAAGGCTTCTGAGTAATTGACAGAGCATGAAAGTATGTCTTTTTGTTTTTCTAAATATCTCTTGATTATTTTTTTCAGATTCAGGCATTCAGTTTTTTCTGATCATTTTTCCCTAGTGCCACTATCTTTAATAAATCCACTCTAAACTTATCACATTGTTCTGTTTTCTTGAATTGCTTAAGAAAAGAACTTCCAAAAAAATGTTTGCTGCATGACTGATAAAGACTAATGATTCTGTGTTCAGACCATTCTATAATTCCTGCTTGCTTAAAAATGGAAAAAAAGTTGAGTGCTTAAAGTCTTTTGACAAGTGGCCTATTTCATATATGTGATTGCAGATTTTGATTAGAATTCTTGTTCCCTTTCCCCTAGGGATTTTAACATTTGAAATGATTTTATCCATGCCTAATGTCTTCCTGTTTTTTAGACTTCTGGTATTGCTTACTTTACATTTTAGTATAGCTGGACCATCAAGGTTGTAAATTTTCATCCTGTGTGCATAGAACAATTTTTTGCCTATTCACATTTTATAATTTTTTTGCATATTAAAATCATCCAGGAAGTCACAAAGAATTCCAGAACAATATTGGGGATCTGCTGACCTCTCTCATGTTGGCTAAAATCAGTGTTCATGAATCTACCGATAAGAAAACACTGGGTGAAAGTGCTGATAGACAAAAACTTGCCTCAAGTTTGCCAAAAAGGATCTGGATTATCCTTTGTTCTATGGACCAATAAGTCAAAAGTGGATCTTTTCAGTCAACATGGATATCACTATGTTTGGCAGATGTCAAACACTTCATTCCACAATAAGAAGCTCATATCAGCTGCGAAGCATGGAATTGGTAATGTCATGGTTTGGGGATGCTGCCTCAGGGCCAGGATGACTTGCCATTATTGAAGGAAGCATGAATTTTGCTTTGGATGAGAGAATATATGGATTATGAAGCAAAGTAATCATCCCAAAGAAAGAAAGAAAAGTACAAGAAAATGGATGAAGAAGAAATTCAGTGTTTTGGAGTAGCCATAGTCTAGACCTAAATTCCATAGAAATGTATCAGGACCTGGAAGAAGCAGTTCATTCTAGAAAACCTCAGATGTTACTGTGTTGAAGCAATTTACTATGGCAGAACGGGCCCAAATTCCTACATAGTGATGTGAGAGATTGATCTTCAATTACAAGAAGCCTTTTGGTTCAGTTTTTGTAGTTACAGATACGCAAGAATTCAGATTTTTTTTTCTCTGAAAATTTAGAAAAGATACGCAAAAATTCAAAAAATCCAAAAGTGGGTGCATAATATTAACTGCAGCTATAAACAGTAATTCTCTGACCATCATGAAATTGTTGGAAAGGTATACATCTCTCTACTTACTCCAGGTGGGTATTAGTCACAGAATAAAATCTGAGACCTTTATAAGCATTCAGCATGATCAGTCACAAAGCATCTGTTGCCACTGCCTCTTCTTGCTTCAAAGGGTTTTGGATGGTGGGAAAGTGGCAGGATCTTCAAGATCTGTCAACCTAAGGAGAGCATCTTCTCTTGCACTTGAGTGAGGTTTTCTGAGGCCTGAGGTAAACCTAAAAGAAAGAAATCCTGTTTGTTGGTACATAAGTGAGTTTTATGGAGGAGCTTTAATCTTGCTTTGAAAACTTAATTAGCGAAAGATAACCAAAAAGTTACTAGATGGAAAAGAAATAATACTACATTGTTTCTACAGTTTTAAAAAAATACATAATGATTAAAGTGAACTAAAGTTAGAGGGGGCAGAAAGGATCTATGTAATGTTAATATAGAATTACCTCAAATTTTTAAGGAACTTTAATTGTGTAAGGAGTGGTTTATTTTTCTTTTTTAGTGAAGGAACAAGTTACACACAAAAAAATTAAACATCAAGAGGTCTTAGTCACTAATCCCTCCAGTGGTTATTTATATTGTGTTTGATACCTTATTTCAATCCTAAGTGGTTGATGTTGAAAATCATATAACTAGAAGCCTTTTCCAGAGTTCCTAACAAAACTAATGACTGGAATTGTTCACCTTCATTAGATAATTTGTTTTTAAAGGTTTAATGTAAAGCCCAGAGGCTAAAATAGCCTCCAGATTCTTGTATTTATTAAAATCCACAGTGGTTTTCTTCAGGCTGCCTAAAAATGAAGAAACAGTGAATTTTATTGCTTTCTAACACCAAGAGCATGTAAGCTAACAAATGCACAAGCACAACCATTTGTGAATTTAGAAATTATTATAAAGTCTTACTAACAATGTATTTCAAGGTAACCGTCAAATACATCTAACTAAATCCTCCTTAATCTAAGCATTCTTTAAAAAGTTCTTTGTTAAGAACTCGTAACAACAATGTATCATCAGATATTACTTCGAATTTGTTTTCCAATACCAAACCTATTAGCATAGATATTGAAGGGCAGTGAATTATTTTTGAATTGCCTTTTTTCTTCAAACTAATTCAGAGAGGATTTGATGCCTTCAGAAGAACCTATTAAAATGTTCTTACTTCCAACACAGAGCTGGAGCAGTTAATAAAAAGGCATTTTACGTGAGTTAGATCATAGCAAAAAATAGAATAATATGTCATAGATTCTTGTAATAAAAGATGAATAGTGTAAAGGATTTATCTTAAGGGAGTCAGAGCTCTTTGCCAAGCTAATGTAGATCATGCAGAAATATAACTGTAAATCTAGATTAACTTTTTCCTTATCCCTGTTGCAGACAGACTGGACCTGGAGATTTGTGTCAAGTAGGGGAAAAGGAAAAGTGACCTCTCTCATGAAATGTTCCTATGCTGTATAGTAAAATAGTGGTAGTAGTGCTTTGATTGCTATGCTCCTGGCACTATTTAAGTTTTTAATAGAATATTTTATTTATCTATCTATCTATCTATCTATCTATCTATCTATCTATCTATCTATTTATT